ATGAACCTTCTTCCATATCCTCAGTGGAGGAATATTGGTACCGAAGCCTCGCAGGCAGCATCTCTTAGAGAAACAACACACAAGGATGCAGCAGCTGTGAGATGTGGTTGGGATGAGGGCAGTGAGCACCTGCTGCCCCACAGCATCCTCACACCTCCCCATCTCTGCAAGGATGATGCTGCGGGCCTGAGAGGTGTTACTGAAAGGAGAGACAATGGTGGAGCTGGGAACACGACATGCTCATCCAGTGCTGCAGGGATACAAACCCCAGTGTGAAAGGGATGGAAAACCAAAGGAGCAAAGGATGGAGGACTCCACAGAATGGCCTGGGTTGCAAAGGAGCACAGTGCACATCCAGCTCCAAGCCCTGCTGTGTGCAGGTCACCAAGCAGCAGCCCAGGCTGCCCAGAGCCACATCCAGCCTGGCCTTGAATGCCTGCAGGGATGGGGCATCCACAGCCTCCTTGGGCAACCTGTGCCAGTGCCTCACCACCCTCTGCCTCCAAAACTTCCTCCTCACATCCAACCCAAACCTCCCTTGACTCCACTCCCAGCCTCTTCCTGCACCAACTGTAACTGTGATCCAGGCACGGGGTTTGGATCCATGAGACAGATGTGCTGGGAAGAGAGAGCACTGGGAAACGACAGCATTTTGCTGATATTTATGGGCTCCACGTGAAGCACTGACAACAAGATGTGTCAATACTTACAGGAGAGCTTCCAGTGGAAGGAGAAAGCAGTTCCTGTTCCCTAATGTACACCTCTCAACCACAGGGAGTGTGAAAGATGCAAGATCAATGCTCAATCCTAACCTGTAGCTCAGTGAATAAGCCAGTCACTCATCACCAGCTTCACCTTTACGTGAATATTTGATATGTGGCACAAGGTGATGCTCACTGTCACAGAAACCAGCTTAGTTATTACAGCTAAACGTAGACTCTATCTAAAATAATTTGATTTAAATTAAAAATCCTGTATGAAAATTAATTTGGGCAGTAACCATTCTTCAGACACAGAATATATTATGGTTAGGCAATGTAATGTTATGGGAAGGTCACACTTGCACTCAGCTCATTAACGACAGCCTTTATAGAGGGTGTGGGAAGGGCATCAGTTCTGCAGTTGCATCCATAAGCTCTCCAGCTTCATTGGGAAATAATTTGTTAATAAGACAGAAAATAAAGAATCAGATGAGGATGCAGCGACACGTAACAGCCCCAGGATTTTGGGGTATTCACAGAATGGCCTGGGTTGCAAAGGAGCTCAATGCTCATCCACTTCCAACCCCTTGCTGTGTGCAGGGTCACCAACCAGCAGCCCAAGCTGCACAGAGCCACATCCAGCCTGGATGTATGATATTATCCTTTGGTGTGACTGTAGATGAAGAAAGGTGTCTCTGAACATCGAATCTTCAATCCACCACAGACAGACTGAGCCTGCTGGTTACCCACCACGACTGTTTTTTAGCTCAGAGCTGAATTATCATACCTTTCTTCTTACAGTATTCTTACAGCATGTAACGTGGCAATTAAAACTAGAGGCATAATTTGTCTAGACCTCCATTATACAAGGAAGAGTTTTCCCAGGGGAGCGTGCAAGTGAGGCTACTGCTTCAGAAACAGCTTTCTGCTCTGACAGTCTCATTAGTACAATCCCTGAATGGCTTCAGAGTAAAAACACAAGAAGGCAAAGTTTGTTCCTTCGCCACACATTCAATGCAGTCAGCATCCATAATGGCTGCAGCAGATCTACAAAGCACACTGTATTATGCAATGATACCTCGTGCCTGGATGGACTACAGGCATACCATGCAAGATCTGTTCTGCTCAATATCTTTATTGATACGGTCTTTATTGATCACAGAATGGCCTGAGTTGCAAAGGAGCACAATGCCCATCCAGTTCCAACCCCCTGCTGTGTGCAGGGTCACCCAAAACCAGAGCTGGCTGCCCAGAGATTATCTGGATGAGGGCACTGAGTGCAGCCTCAGTATGTTTGCAGGTGGCACCATGATGGGGGGAAGTACTGATCCACACTGGGGTAGGAAGACTCTCTACAGAAGGATCTGGACAGGCTGATTGCTGGCCTGAGGCCAACGGGATGGAGTTCAACAAGACCAAGTGCTGCACTTTCATCACAACAACCCCAGGCAACGCTACAGGTGTGAGGCAGGGTGGCTGAGAAGAAATGGACCTGGGGGTGTTGGTTGATGTTCGGCTGAAGATGAGCCAGCAGAGTGCCCAGGTGGCCAAGAAGACCAATGGCATCCTGGCTTGCATCAGAAACAGTGCAGCCAGCAGGAGCAGGGAGGTGACTGTCCCTCTGCACTCAGTCCTGGTGAGGCCACAGTGCAGTGCTGAGCTCAGCGTTGGGCCCCTCAGTGCCAGAAAGGCATGGAGGCCCTGCAGCGTGTCCAGAGAAGGGAGCAGAGCTGTGAGGGGTCTGCAGCATAAATCTAATGGGAAGCAGCTGAGAGAGCTGGGATTGTTCAGTCTGGAGAAGAGGAGGCTCAGGAGAGATCCTACTGCTCTCTACAACTACCTGAAGGGAAGGGGTGTTGAGCTGGGGGTCAACCTCTGCTCCTGTGTAACTAGAAATAGGATGAGAGGAACAGCCTCAAGTTGTTCCAGGGGAGGTTCAGGTTGAACATTATGAAGAATTTCTCTAAAAGACTGGTCAGGCACTGGAATGGGCTGCCCAGGGAGGTGTGGAGTCACCAACCCTGGAGGAGTTCAAGAAATGCTTAGATGTTGTACTGAGGGACGTGGGTTAGTGGGAAACGGGCGGCTGGTTGGACTGGATCATCTTGGAGGTCTTTTCCAACCCTGGTGGTTCTGTGATGCTATGATTTTCCTCCTGATACCTCAGATCAGCAGCCCACCCAGCACCATCCAACCCCACAGCCCTGAGCTGCCCTCCAGATTTGGACACAGACATCTGGATATGTGTCAGCTATGAGAAGAGGGAGCACAGCTACATCATCATCATTCATCTCCGAGAGGCAGCTGCTCTCCAGTGCACACCCCCTATTCTGTGCACAATACTCAGGATTCCAGCACCAAATCCAAGCCTTAATTACAAGGCAGCCTCTGTGTTGCAGAATGATAATTGGTGGATGCAGGAACTGAACATTTTTCTGCTTTTCTGCTTGCTAATGCACAGAAATGCAGCACCAAGATAACACATCTAATCATTTCATTGCATAGGGAATAATTTTGCTACTAAAATACAAGTTCAAGAAATGCTTCAATAACAGACTTCATTCCTGTCTATAATGTGCACCCAAAGTAATCTATAAGCCTGCTCTTAGCAACTCCTTACAAAATTCTGTATACAAACTACTGGTGAAGCTGAGCACATAAAACAAGGTCTCCTCCAATCCAACCCATTCGATGATTCCAATGCAAGTATTTTCACAAATATGTGCACACACATAGGTGTGCAAGTGATTGCTCTACAGAGGTACCCAAGAATGAAGGTCCTCTCCACCCTGCAGCACTAATGGCTTCCTGCTGTAACACCCTTCATAGAATGACAGCATGGCCTGGGCTGCAGAGGAGCACAGCGCTCATCCAGCTCCAAGCCCTGCTGTGTGCAGGTCGCCAAGCAGCAGCCCAGGCTGCCCAGAGCCACATCCAGCCTGGCCTTGAATGCCTGCAGGGATGGGGCATCCACAGCCTCCTTGAGCAACCTGTGCCAGTGCCTCACCACCCTCTGCCTCCAAAACTTCCTCCTCACATCCAACCCAAACCTCCCCTGTCTCACTTTCAAGCCATTCCCCTTGTCCTGTCACCACCCACCCTCACACACAGCCGTTCCCCCTCCTGTTTATCCGCTCCCTTCAAGCACTGAAGGCCACCATCAGGTCTCCCTGCAGCCTTCTCTTCTCCAAGCTCAACAAGCCCAGTTCCCTCAGCCTTTCCTCACACAGACCTGCTCCAGCCCTCTGCTCATCTCAGTGCCTCCTCTGGACCTGCTGCAAGAGCTCCACGTCCTTCCTGTGCTGAGGGCCCCAGGCCTGAACTCAGCACTGCAGATGGGGCTTCACAAGAGCACTGAAGAAGAAGGGGACGATCACCTCCCTCTCCCTGCTGGCCGCCCCTTCAGTGTTCACAACTTCGTATGAAATACTGTGAGATCAATGAATCATAGAATCATGAAAACTCAGCTTCCCATTACACACAGAGTCAGTATGGATGTACAGCTCTGGCTCTTAGTCCATGAGCTCCCATGAAGCAGATCTGCTTACATAACAAGCCCAGACAAAATCTTTTTCATGCACACCTCTGTTCAGTCCAGTAGTGTTCACTGCTTTCACCAGTTCACTATTTGCCAAGTGCTTTATCTCCATTAACACAAGGGATAAAACATCACCTGGCACGTCCGAATGCAAAGAGCTGCTGCCCATCTCACAGCATCAAATCTAATTTTATGGCTGTTGCATCAGCTCAAAAGACATTTCCCTGCTTTCCCCAATTCAAAGGCAACTCGTTATCTATCAAAAACTAATAGCTTGAGCTATTCAAGAACATCTGCTGGCACTTTCATTACCCTCCAACAAAGCAGAGAAGGCAGTTCATGCTGTCTCACCATACAGCAGAAGCATTTTACCCAACCGCTTTCCTCCTTGATTGGTTTGCCTGCATCTGTTCACTGATCAGATACAGAAGCACTCCTCAGACCTTGGTCCCCAACATTCTGACTGATGCCTTCATTCCTTCAGCCTAAACACCCAATCTGGATCATCAGAGGTCTGGGAAGGTATAAAGGAAGACCTATAGATCCAAAATCATAATTCTTTTTTTTTTCTAAGAGGAAAAACGTTGCAAAAGTCATTCGCTGCAAGGTCAGAAATGTTTCCAAACCTCAGCCAACAACTTCAGCTCTTGGTTTTTGCATATGGACTACCAATATCCCTACAAAAAGACTTCCTGATGCCTAAGAGCAGATCTTACTGTCACAAAGGTGCAAGGGCTGGATGCAGCCAAGGCATTACTCACCTGTTTTACATTGTATCCTGCTTTCGCACTAGTTTCAATGAACATTACATTCAGCTCTTTGGCTTTTCTTTCTCCTTCCTCAATGGACACTTGCCTGGGGAAGAGAATACACAATTAAAAAAACAAAAACCAAACAGATGGACACCTTGAAAATTAACACTATTGCCTTTAACTCCAGGAAATGACTCCTACATTACAGTCTCAAGGCATTCAGTGGTTTTCCCTGCATACAGCCAACACAGATTGAGCACAGCTGAACAGCACGATCACCACAACAGCACACCTGGCTCCAAAGCAAAGCAGCTGAATGGACCAAAGAGACTCCTACAAGTCCCTGTCCAAGAAGCTGTGTTTTTATGCTTCAAGAAGCAGCAACTGAAAGGTTTTAATACCCAGTAACAATCATCAGCTTGCAGACTACAGAAGGACCACACGTAACCATCTCATACTGAAAGGCTTCTGCTGTTCACCCCCATCCAGGCATCCCACTCACTAAGCAGTCTGCTGCAGCTGAAACTGGAGAGGACTTGGGATCAAGAGCTTCTAGATAAAAATCACGAAGCATCTCATGTGAGAGACAGAACAATTCCTAGTGGGATGTCATAAATCTGAAGTAAGGAGCACGAGTGAAGCTATTCTGAGAAAACAGGGATTTCCATCAGATACAGAACACCTCCATGCTGTGCTTTTGCATTGCATTTTTGTGACTGAAGCTGCACACCTTCCAATAAAAAGAAGTTTGCCAACTTATGCAAACACCTTGTAGTGTTCTAAAGGGGAGGATGACTTGCACCCATCATTTGTATCCCAGCAACTGGATTGAGTGTCTGTGCTGTAAACCCGGCTTTGCCCAAAAGAGAGACGTTTAAAAACCAAGACCTCTCCAGACACAGCCAGCATTTGAGAAGGAAATACGAACGTTCCTTTTCAAACAGCTGCCTTGGAGAAAGGAGCATCAGCCCAAGAAAAGCAGCTGACGTTGAGCTGTTCCTCCGTACCTCTTATCTGCTAGATCTGTTTTATTTCCCACCAGCATAATGATGACATCGCTGCCCCGTTCCGTTCTGACATCGTCGATCCATTTTGTGGTTTGCTGGAACGAGTTGACATCTAACAGAAAACAGTGGAGAGGATTATCACTGCCGAGCTTCGGCACGCATCGCAGGTAACACAGCTGGAGGCCTCAAATAGAAGCTTCTTATTTCTGGAATCAGACTAACAGGGCGATGAAGAACCAGCAAGCGAAACCCCAAAGTGCCCCACACTCAAGTGCATGAAAGCTACAGCCCTAACTTCACCTGGGCTGGTATTCACTCCCTGCATTGGGATTCACCTCTACATACAGAGGTGGCAGCTTCTGGACAGCCTGGGCTGCTATGAAATGTGGAGGTTGGTGGCCCTGCCTGCAGCGGGGGGGTCAGAGCTTCACGATCCTTGAGATCCCTTCCAACCCAAACCATTCTGTGACTCTGTGATACAGAATTTGGTTTGGGCAACGTCCAAAATGATAAGACTGATGGCTCTTTTAGTCCCCGTGTTGTTTAGTTGGATAAAAATTCAGCGTGGGGAATAGGGATCAATGTGACACTGCCCATCATTCTGCACTGCTCACCTACTGCAGGAGGGCCCCACGGCTTCTGCACTCCTCAGAAGAATTCTGAGCTCTGTGGTTCTGCACAGCTTCAGCACTTTTTATTTGCTGGGCTTAGGATTTTCCCTCAGAACTGGCAGGGCTATATAAATACCAGCAACTCCTTTATTGCTGCAGGGTGCCCAGCAGTTTCCTGATCTCCTGCACGGAACAAGCAATGCAAATCTCATACATCCACAGGTGCTTTTTCTTAACGTGCCGCTCTTAAAAGCCAAAACATAAAGAATTTAGGAGCCTACCCTGACCTAATGAGCACGTGGGTGAGAAGCTGCATCCCATTAGGAGAAAGGAGCTGCACAGAAGCTGCCCTGGTGCTCTGCATTAACCACAGTGAGCCGAGGAGCTGCCTCACTCAGTTCTGGTACTCAGCAAATGGGGCTCTGCCGCAGTTCTCGACAGTCATTGATTTCTTTTTAATGGCTTCTACTGCATAGTAATATATTGTGTGCCAGACAGACAAGGCTTGATCACTTGCCAGTGTCTTCATTTGTCTCTCTGCTATTCGGTAATATTGAATTTGCCAGGTCGGTAAAAGAATAATTCAAGGTTCACAGCTAACCTGTAATTTTAGCTCAAATGAAAGTGCTATTTGTAACAATTAAAGATTTCACAGGTAAATTCCTTATTCCTGCTGTAATCTCCTAGTATTTATAAAGCAAAGGACAAGCTCTTTAGAACTGGTATCGATTCAGGCTGTTGCTCTCAGTCAGTTCAGCCCCAGAACTGAGAAATGTGTGAAGGTTTTGTTCTTCCAAAGCAAAATTCTGCTGTTGGCAAACAGGGAATGCTGTGAATTTGGGCTTTCTGAAACGGGGGGGAGGGACAGGAGGAGAAGAGTTGAGAAAAGCACTAACATTTTAGTTCACAAAAATGTACATACCTTAGTAGGAAATGAAAGAGCAATTGTTACAGGAGAAGGGCGTAGTGGTCAGTTGCATATATTGCACAGTGTGAAAGTGACTGATTGCAATGAAAATGTGATGTTAATGCAGTTCCCCCCCAGCCCACGCCCAAACCTTGGTGGTGGTGGGAGGGCAAATGGAGTGAAGCAAGCTACAGCTATCAGTGCAATGTCTAATTTGAGAATTCAGCTAACTATGAACATGATTCACGTGTTTGAGACCAGAAGTTATCGGTGACACCGTGACCAAAAAGCAGATGGAGCAGGGCAAAGTGCAACAAGACCAGCCAGGACTCAAGACTTCAGGAAATGTGATAGGAAAGGGTTACAAAGTGAGGGAGTTGATCAGACAGTCCATACATTGCAACAGCAGTGATCAGGTGGCTAGCTTAAAACTGGACTAGGGTAAAAGAAAACAATTTTTCCATGCCAGAATGAAGAACAAGCACGTGGTTGTGATAGGACATGCAAAGCTAGGCTAAAGGATGAAAGGGGCAGAGTATTAGAAATGCAGAATTCCCCCCACTCACTTGTGATATCATAAACAACAACTGCAACAGTGGAGTCACGAATGTAGCTAGGAATCAAGCTCCTGAACCGTTCTTGACCTGCTGTGTCCCATAATTGCAACCGTACCTAACAAAATCAGTCAAACAAGCAAGAAAAATAAGAAAAAAGGTCAAACCCAGTGCAATATACCTACTTGTGATATCGTAAACTACTACAGCAGCAGCAGAGTCACGGATGTAACTGGGAATGAGGCTACGGAAACGTTCCTGACCCGCAGTATCCCACAGCTGCAACCTGATCTGTGGGTGGGAGAAAATTAAAAAAGCCAAACTGCTACTAAAAATCAAAAGAGTCAAGAATTGTCACGTTTTGAAAAAGCTAACGAAAAATATGAACTCATGCAGGAGGTGACTGGGAGAAGCAGCAAACTGTCCTCTCCTTTATAGCAACCTCTCCCAAGCACCTGCGGTAGCCAAGCTGGTGTGTGTGCACCTATCTCAGCCCTTTCTGCTGTCTTTTCTTTGCAAAAATGCTTTCCTTCCTGAAGGGGAGAAATAGGAGCGTTCAGCTGGTGGAAGAATGCTGTGCTTGTAAGGGAAAAACCACCAGCTGCTGTCAAAGCATTGGAGAAGCTACTGGTGTGAATGTTTCAGGAAGGATAAAACGCTGGTTATCACTGCACCAGGTTTTACACGTTAAAGTACCATGCACACAGATGAGGTTTAATGTCTCTTACCATCAAGGCTCTGAAAGGAAAGGCAGGATGTACCGAAAGCAACATGTATGGAAAGATGTGCAAGGGCCAGTTCTGCTATGGAAACAACATCTCATCCCCAGAGCGTTGTTGATGCAATCACATTTGCTGTGGGTTTATACAACACCATGCTTCTGCAGCACTGAACAACCTGCTCCTGCAAACAGCTCAGTGGCTGAATTTCTTAACGAAGATCTGAACTAATTTTAAACCACAGGCTTGCTTCCAGAGAGCAGTGATTTCATTTCAGGAACCAGAGCTGCACCAAGCTAAGCAACCAGCACCACGTGTGGGTTCCTGCTGGAGGTAACACTGAGCTGGCTGATAGGTTATAGGGAGCTAGCTAAGAACTGGCAATGCTGTGAGGGATAAAACACAGATTGCCAAAACAGAATGGCTCAACTGTGGCTCCCTTCCCCAAACTCCTACCCTTATACACCCCTCTCTCAAACTATCCCTCCGAGTTGTCTCCAATAAGGATGCCAACGCAGCACCTTCTGCCATTCACAAAATGGCCCTCAGGAGCCAACTGATGATCTCCCATTTGCCAGGCAGGGAAGGAAGCTTTTCCCACAGCACCTATCAGGCTGGAAGCAGCCAGGAGATGAGGGCTCAGGCTGTACTTCCAAGTCATCTCAGAACTGTGCACCATCACAACAGATGCTGACCCTCATTCCTTCTGCACAGAGAGAACAAAAGTCTTACTCACTGTTCGATCCTCCAAATACATGGTTTTCGATAAGAAGTCAATGCCAATTGTGGCCTGCAGGAAAAGAAAGGAAGAATCAAGAACATTGCAAATAAAACACCCAAACAACTGCAGTGACTGTCAGGATTAACATTACTGCCAAACTGCAGCAGATCTGCAAGAAAAATACGTTGGGTTTTCTTACCAGGACAAAGCCCCACAGGCAATTCAATGAGACGTTCCCTGGATAGAACCCATAACCAGCACAGCACCTAAAAGCTCGAGAAGTTGTTAACCTTCATCTCAATTTATGCTCGCCAGCAACCCATGAAGTCATACAGGTATCAGCAACGACTTCTGTGCACAGAGGGCCACGACCTACGTTAGCATCCATCAGCAGAATCAGGGATCTTCACTTTGAGCCCATTTCCTTAAGGCTAAGGTGGACTGCTTCACTTCTGCTGCAGCACAACAGCGCCTGCATGCACACAGCCCAGCAATCACTGAGGTTCAGCTAATGCTAAAGCTCAGCTCAGCACAACTGCACCTGAACTGCTGGACAGTTGGGAGCTTTGTGCAGAATATCCTCACGTGTTTAAGGAAAGAGGAAAGCACTACTGAGTGCCATCCAGAACTGCTTCTTAAAGACCTTCACCCCATTTTTCAGGGCTGGATTGAGGGAGCGAATCCGAGCCCCATCAGTTTGGTTGCCTTAGGGACACAACCAAGGCAATCTGCTCAGGCTACATGGCTGCCCAGCAGCACACCAAGCATCTCGAGCAGCTGCACCCTCAGCAGAGCCTTCGTGATGACCCAAATAAATGGATTTAAAGGAGAAAGGCAAAGATAATAGGGCAAAGAGGCGTGCTGCTTCTTCCCTGCTTTCCCATGCTGGTACTTGTGCTGGAGAGCCTGTTCTACAGTAATGATCTACATCGTGAGACTTCCATTACACTCTCACTAATAATTAATGTATTGTATTCTGCCAGATAATTTAGGTGGTAAGAATAGAGAACAGAGCCAGCCAGCCTGCCTGCCTGAGAGTAATATATGAAAACCAGTTGCAAATTAAGAAAAAAAACAGATCTGAATTTCTATTTGCAGCTACACGTTACCCACAAGAAAGCAAGCTTACTCAGCTGGATCAGGAGAGCACTTTTAAGAACCAGAGATCCATACGCAAATGATAAAAACTGGTGGGTCCCAACGTGGCCACCCAGTGATTTTCACCTGTCATCATGGACTGTGACATTGCCCACTGAGAGAAATGATACTGACAGGTGGGTATGAGAATCCATCAGAGCCTGATGTGACAACATGCTCCCCTGCTGCCTTCATCTTCTATCATTTGGGTAAAGAGTAACTCTCTGAAGATTGCCACAAAGGTGCTTCTGCTTTCTCTTGTGCCTGTTTTGATTCACCTCTGCAGAAGAAAAGCCACAGAAACCCTAAGATCTTACCCTAGATCAGGATGGATGACAAGCTCTCAGCTCCTCTGAGCTCTCAGAGCTGCACAGCCTGAGATCTGCTCAGCTCCTCCTGCAGGAGTCCTGGAGCCTCAGTCTCCTTGTGCTCACAACATGGGAGGCGCAGCACAAAGGCCAGGCACAAAACTTATTTTAGATCCTGGCAACGAAAATGTTTAAGAATCACACATTGTAACTTACAGCCAAGTGTGTCTGTCCACCCGTACTGTCCTGACCCCACCACAAGGATACAGAGAAGCAGCAGCAAATGGCGAGGGGGGGATTCAGGCACCCTGTATCCCAGACTTTAACTAAAATAAGTAAGCTAAAAACAGCCATTTTGTCACAGTTCTGACAAAAAGGAGGAGAAAAGCGCAGGGAATCTTCACAGATCAGCTGCACGGAACTCAATGCCATCCTCCCTGCTCTTCCTCCAAGAGGCTGAAGCTGAAGGGAAGCGTGGTTTGTAATCTTCCTCTTGCATAACACACAGAGTCTTCCTGTTTGCCAACGCTGCTCCTTCATTATGCATCACACTCTGTGCCATAGAACAAGGAAAACCTCTCCCAGCATAGAGGAATCACTGCTGGTGAAACAGACAGCACTGTTTTATTCCAGGTGTTTGGCTTCGACACAGCAGCGCAGGTTCTTGGTTTGTTCACAAATGCTGCTTTCATGCAAACTGCTTTTTAACAAGCAATGGGCAGCAGCTGAATTCCTCTTATCAAGCAGCAAGAAAAAAAAGAAAAGAAGGAATGTTCAGCACAGATTCTCCCAAACCGCACCTTTCTATTTTTACCAGCTGAACACCACAAGCCCTGCTCAAATGATAGCTTGTGGCAGCTCTCAGAAAACATGCATTCAAAATTCATCTGAAATGTCCAGAAAGAGGAAATCATTCAGCAGCTGAGCTCCAGCTGCAGCTAACCACGTTGACACGCAGTGCCATGCACGTATTTGGCTTGGAGAGGCCTCGATCAAACCCTGGGAATCAAGGAAGGCATATTCTGCCTTGGCATTACATGTCATTTGATTTTGGCTGGTTCTTATGACTAATTCTCTCTTCCAGCTGTGTCAAAATAGGGCATGGTTCCCTGTATTTCAGGAAAATGGGGGTCTCTGGATGAATGAAACCACACCAAGTACATTAACACACACAACAAGCCCGCATCGCTGACAGCTAAACTGAAGCTACTTTCTAAGCCCTTAAGATTCCTTACTGGTTCAAGGCTCAATCATTCATTTCATAATCATTTCCTATGTAATGTTAGACCAGCTTTCCTACTGAGACTGCTGTGCTACCATAAAGCAGAGAGGGCCAAACCTCCTCAAACAGAACTAGGACGCAGACTCTGCAGAGAGGAGCAGACCTGAAAGAAAAACACTGGGGGGGGGGGGGGGGGGAAAAAAAGCAGATTAAATAAAAGGATGGCATTCACATGTCCATGTAATTACAGCAGGGAGGATTTGAAAGGATGTTTGCTCCCGTGGGAGCAATGATGTGTATTCCAGCCCTCCTACACCACAGAAGCTTTGCTTCTCCTATCATTAAGTGAGAACTCGCATCTCATTGTGACCAACTCACAGAGCAGCAATGTGGAATCACTGATGAGGCAGGAAGGGAATCATTAACGGGGAAAGAGATTTAATCAAGAAATACTTGCATAGACATTAAGTAACAGAAGAATCACAGCTTTTTTTTTGTATTTTTTTTCCCCATTACCTTCTCCTCCCACCTCCCTAAACAACCCTTCACATTTGTCAGGGAACAGATTTTCTCAGCTCAGCGAATGCAGAACATCACCAAGCACAACCAAGTTGTGAAGCACGTTGTGGCTTAGAGAAGACCCACTTTAGTTTATGAAACTGAATTGCTTTTGTAGCTTGCCACCTTTTCAGGCTCATCCTACAGTGTGGGAGTGGATAACAATGACTGTTCCCCTGGCATTTAGAAAGCCTGCATAGCATCCTAAAGCACTCAGAGCCTACAGCTCGGCTTTCTGCCTCTTCTTTTTTAAGGAACAAAGTGCCTACTCCGTTCTCCATGAGATCTGCAATGGTCTGGTAGCAAATGGTGAAAAACCTGGCAGACTTACAGCTGCTGTCACTTACGTGTACCTAAGAGGTCCATCCTTTGTAACTACAGCTCACCCTGCTGCGAGCTGCAGATAAGCCATTCCAGCAGACATACACTGAAATGCCATTCTGAAAGGTTATTAAAATATAAAGCTTCAAGATGTAACAGCTAAGAATGTGGTCTGTGTACTATTCCCCACTGCAGCCCAATGGATTCTGCTTGCAATGAAGAGGCCTTAGAGAAGACAACAAGAGGGATTCATTTACCTGGTAGGTGTTGTCAAAGCTGTCATACATGAACCTGGTGATCAAGGAAGTCTTCCCCACTACAAGGAGACAAAAATAAAACAACACAGATTAGAGGAACGATGCCAATGCAAGTTTTAAGCAAGTTCAGTATGAGAAGACAAGACTGAAGAGCATTATTGCTGAGATGTTTACCACGTGCCCACAGTGCCTGCAGGCAAGCTTCACCCTTTGACAGTGCACTCACTGCACCTTTCTGCATAGGCAGGCTCATAAACTGTTCCAATGCCACTAATGCTGCTGGTTGCAGCTCAGGACCAGTGGATCCAGCTGGCTGTGCAGCAGCAGGAAGGCACTGCAGCATCTGCAGATGCACCTGGGAGCCAAACACTCAGGCACAGAGTGTTCCATAGATCCTGCTGCAGCATTGCAACTCCTCTATCTGCTGCTTAGCTTCAACAGGTCAAACCTCACGTGTGGCAAATTGCATCCAGGTTCTCATTTCACAAGCAGAAACTAGACAAGCTGTGTGTATAGCACCTATCAAGCTGTGGATATGGTACTGCCAAGCTCCAGCCAGGTATCAGACTGCCTTGAAGCTCCTGTTAATTGCTTTTTAAGGAAAAGGAGATTACATTTCAAAACAATCATCATCACAGTGGTTACCTACTCCACTTTGTGGGATCAACACAGCTGAGCTTAGACAGAGCCCAACTCACACCCAGTGCAGAACTCCTTCCTGCTCAGTGCCACCTTCACCTGAGCAGACCTGTAGGAACTGAACACCTGAAGCTGCCTTGGCTTGGTGTTGAAATACCTTTAACTGGAAGTAGATCCCTTAGGAAACAGCTGGATTTACTCAACAATCAATTGCCTCCAGCTGTTTTCTCCCAGTCCCCTTGCAGCTGTGATTTGCCATCTCCCAGCACAGGTAAGGAGCATTGCAACACTGCAGAAGAGTTAAACAAACTGGAACCCAGCAGAGAACTTTTGGGAAAAGACTCCAAAGTCACAATTTGAATTCCTAGGTGAATTCTTCACACATTTCCCTCCGTGGGCATCATGAGGCTTCCCACAAAGCTAAAAACAGTCTTTGTAGAGATAGAGCAAACATGCCCTGGACTGGTAATTCTTCCAAAGCAATGCATCTAGGATGAGAGGAATCTTGAATTCACCACTCAGCTCTGCCCTGAGGCGTCCAACAGAAGCACAATCTGCTGCAGGACCAGCAGGCTGATGAGAAAAGCCAATGGGTTGGGCTGCAGCACATCCCATGAACACTCGTATTGAAACAACTGCTTTGACCAACATTTGGATGGAGTTCCTTAACGTCCTTCAGCCCCATGACATTTCTGCCCAAACAGACCAGGCTTTTCCCTTACACAGCATGTCAGCAGCCACCACACCATACCAGAATGAAGAGCAGCTGCTTACAGGTTGAATTCCACCACGATAAGTGAACAGTCACCAAATATATAGCAAAATCAACTTGCTTAAAAGATCCCCGTGGATGTGAAAGCTCACAGTTCCCAGTGTATTGGGAAGGGGGAAGGGGGAAGGGGGAAGGGGGAAGGGGGAAGGGGGAAGGGGGAAGGGGGAAGGGGGAAGGGGGAAGGGGGAAGGGGGAAGGGGGAAGGGGGAAGGGGGAAGGGGGAAGGGGGAAGGGGGAAGGGGGAAGGGGGAAGGGGGAAGGGGGAAGGGGGAAGGGGGAAGGGGGAAGGGGGAAGGGGGAAGGGGGAAGGGGAGGCCTTCCTCTTGCAGCCAGCTGCAGAACTCACTGATCCCTATTTCCCCTTGGCAGAGCACCAAGGAGGGACCAAGAAGCCACGTTTTCGCTTTTGGAGATGAGCCCCTAGGATGAGTTCTATTTTTGTATCATTTCTATTTGGAACTTCATAATGGAGAGCTGAACTCCTGGGCATGGCCTTTTATTTTCATTTGAGAATGCTGCCAAAAAAAAAGAAAAGCAGCACTGATTTGCAGACAGAATCTGCAGGAGAACCCGAATCCCATTCTGTTACAGATTTTCCCTTGCCATCTCTCCTGCCTCACTGGTTCCATGTTTATTAAATTGACAAAAGGCATTAATCTGGGAGTGATTGCAAGCAAGCTGGAGGACAGAATCAGAATTCAAAACTGGCTTTAAAATATGGAGAAGGCACCTGAAGTGGAAAATGAAGCTCAGCAGGGAGAAGCAGCACAATACACTCAGACAAGAATACCTGGCTGCCTAAAACTGACTGCAAGCACCTGGGGAAGCAAAGTGGGGGCTACACCCAAGGCAGAAGACAAGGAAGCCTTCAGCATCCACTGGGTGCTCCTATGTTAATTTGAGCTCGTGGAAGAATTTCAACACACAAACGTGTCCAGGGCAGCATTAAATCAGCAGTGCAGTAGCACACGACATCATGGAGCCCAGATCTTCCTGGTATGTGTTAACATATCCCTGGAGGAATAAAGGTGGGGGGAGGAACAGGGTGAATGTGGTTGTACCTCTGTGCAGGCTGAGGCTGGAGCAGAGGGAGCTGCTGCTGGAGGCACCCAGGGTTGTGATAGAGGAAAAATTCAGTGATTTGGGAGCTGGGAAAGGTTCCTTTGGCAAGAAGAAGACCTCAGACTGCATGGATTACACAGAATGAGGAGATGGACGGCACAGAAGGATCTTAGCGCTAAAAGTAGGTGGTCTTCCAGCCTCTTTCTTTCTGCAGATTAAGAGCCTTCCAATATTTGAAAGGAGCATACATACAGGAGGGGGAACGGCTGTGTGTGAGGGTGGGTGGTGACAGGACAAGGGGAATGGCTTGAAAGTGAGACAGGGGAGGTTTGGGTTGGAGATGGGGAGGGCCCTTAAACACCACCTCATTCCAACACCCAAAAACCTCCCAAGGATAAACCAGGCTGTCTGAAACACAGGAAGGACGTGGAGCTCTGGGAGCGGGTCCAGAAGAGGCACTGAGATGAGCAGAGGGCTGGAGCAGCTCTGCTGTGAGGAAAGGCTGAGGGAACTGGGCTTGTTGAGCTTGGAGAAGAGAAGGCTGCAGGGAGACCTCATGGTGGCCTTCAGTGCTTGAAGGGAGCGGATGAACAGGAGGGGGAATGGCTGTGTGTGAGGGTGGGTGGTGACAGGACAAGGGGAATGGCTTGAAAGTGAGACAGAGGAGGTTTGGGTTGGATGTGAGGAGGAAGTTTTGGAGGCAGAGGGTGGTGAGGCACTGGCCCAGGTTGCCCAAGGAGGCTGTGGATGCCCCATCCCTGCAGGCATTCAAGGCCAGGCTGGATGTGGCTCTGGGCAGCCTGGGCTGCTGCTTGGCGACCTGCACACAGCAGGGCTTGGAGCTGGATGAGCGCTGTGCTCCTGTGCAACCCAGGCCATTCTGTGATTCTATGATCCCACCAGCTAAAAGCAAAGCCCAAGGTCCTATTAGAAAAGGCATGCAATTTTAAAGCTCATCAAAATCTGAAAGAAGCTGTTCAGATGGGCAGTGGATGCTCTGCTCCTCCGAGTGCAGAGCTGGTGATGTCATTCTGCTGCAGGAACTCAGACACAAAGCATTCAAGAATGTTTGGAAGCAATGAGAAGCTGAGAAAATCAGTGATTAACCTACAAACCATTTGTTCCAGCACCGCACCTCGACATCAAGCCTGGAAACTTTTCTAAGCAGCCAGCTAAACACCAGCAGCACCGTGGGTTTCATTAAAATCAGTTTCTGCTCCTTTAAGCTTCTGATGTAATGAGAAGAAAGCCTGCATTACCCAGCTCTAATCACACAGCTGTGCCTCACACACCATTGCTTAAGTGCACAGATCATCAGCACACAGCCCTGCGTGGAAAAGCAAGCAGTGCTGACAACCCGGTGGGAGCAGAGAGAAAAGTGTTGTGCTGTGCAAGGCAGAAAGCACAGGCGTTGCTCTGCCCTCACTGTGATAAAGAGCCATGCTTCAGTATCTAATGGAACAGAAAGCAAGCTGCTGTTCTGCTGTATGAAAAGAGGAGACTCCTGAAAGGAAAGGTTTGGTGGCTGGTTAGCACACAGATGAGACGCCCAGTATCTTTCTAAATCAACAACTGAACGAGTGACAGCAAACAGCAAAGCATCGAAGACACATAATTGAGTTAAAAGATGGGAACTTGTGAAGCTTCTGCCTGTGAAATTGCCATTAACTACAGGGGCCCAAACTCAAAGCCCTCAGCAGCTAATTGAGTCAACCTGATCGATACTCTTTGTCTGCGAGCCCCGAGCCACTGCCTAGCACTTATAGCAGAAAGCATTCATTTGCAAGATGAAATCAATACGTTAATCTCACAGTTCCAGCAACTGTGATCTGACAGCAGCACTGGGAGAGATTTCAAGGTCATACATCCTATTCTTGAGAGCACTGTGCTGCTTTTGGGGCCTTGCGTGCCGGAGGTTTGCGTGTCCATCCCCAGCACTGTTAATGATGCTGACAAATAGAGGGTACCAGCAATTCCTCTGTGCCACAGCTTGCTGCTCTTGGCACTCCAAGCAGTAACGAGTCACTGGGGAGGCCCTCACAGGAGCCAGGGATGAAGAACCATTAGGTACAGCGCATTTCTCCACGCTCACATGGCTTTAGGAGGTCATTTGTTGCCAGACAGGGTCTGCAAAGGGCTCAGGCAACTCTCAGGAGTGACCTACAAAGGAAAGAGAAACTGGAATTGGGCCACTTCTACTTTATGGTGTATGGGACATGCAGGCTTCACCTCCTTATTTCATAGGATCACAGAATGACAGAATGGCCTGGGTTGCACAGGAGCACAGCGCTCATCCAGCTCCAAGCCCTGCTGTGTGCAGGTCGCCAACCAGCAGCCCAGGCTGCCCAGAGCCACATCCAGCCTGGCCTTGAATGCCTGCAGGGATGGGGCATCCACAGCCTCCTTGGCAACCTGTGCCAGTGCCTCACCACCCTCTGCCTCCAAAACTTCCTCCTATTTCATTTCCTAGGGCACAACGTGCTTGTCTTGTGTACCAGAGCTGCATCTTGTCCAAGCATTCTTCCAGAGAAGTTGCACTGAAATCTGAGTTCCTACTCATTGCTGGTGAGCACTTTCAAAACATGAGCAATAAGGAAACATCTGTGAGGCCAAATTAAAAAGAGAGAGAGAGGGAAAGAAAACCCTAAAAAGAATCAAATCTATCCAGCTCCTTCACTGTAAAGCAGAAAAACGGCCCTAAACCCTTCCAAATTCTCAGAGATAGAGTCAGTTAACAAAGCCCCAGCTTTCCCAAGGGATGTATCAAAGGAAGGTGGAGAAAGCTTCCTCACCACAAAGACACCAACAGGATAATCCCAAAAGTTGGGGATTTGGGGTGGTCCCGGGTGGAAGCTGGGCTTGGTGACCCTTGTGGATCTCCTCCAACTTGGGATATTCATTGTGTGGTTCTATCAAAGACCCTTTGCTCTCTCCAGCTCCTTAAAGGAGGTCACAGCAGTGTGGTGCGGGTCGGCCTCTGTTCCCAGCTCAAAGCCAGAGGAAAACTCACTGGAGGGGTGAGGCACTGGCACAGGTTGCCCAAGGAGGCTGTGGATGCCCCATCCCTGCAGGCATTCAAGGCCAGGCTGGATGTGGCTCTGGGCAGCCTGGGCTGCTGCTTGGCGACCTGCACACAGCAGGGCTTGGAGCTGGATGAGCATTGAGCTCCTCTGCAACCCAGGCTGTTCTGTGATTCTATGAGAATAGAGAACAACACCACAGTAACCTCCAGGGGAGGGGCAGGTTGGATATTAGGGAAAATTTCTTCTCCAAAGAGTGATGAAGCAGTGGCACAGATTGCCCAAGGGATGCGGGGGTCACCATCCCTTGGTGTTCAGGGTGTTCAGAACCATGGGGATGTGGCACTGAGAGATGTGGACACAGCATAGTGGGGTGGACTGAGCTTGGGGATCTTGGAGTGCTTTTCCAGCCTTAATCACTCCATGATTCCTTTCAGATTTGGTAAAAAAAATCAAACCCAGCAGCACTACGGCTCTCACAGACAAGCTCACCCCAAGATGAGAGAACACACAACTCCAGATCTGGAAGAAGCAACCCAAGGCACCGTGACAAAAAAGCACTGCTAAGAACAATATAAGAACAATATTTAAGAACAATATTTTCCCCTGTATTCAGCACTGGTGAGGCCGCACCTCGAGTACTGTGTCCAGTTTTGGGCCCCTCACTGCAAGAAAGATATTGAGGCCCTGGAACGTGTTCAAAGGAGGGCAACAAAGCTGGTGAGGGGTCTGGAACACAGGGCTGGTGAGGAGAGGCTGAAGGAGCTGGGAATGTTCAGCCTGGAGAAGAGGAGGCTCAGGGGAGACCTCACTGCTCTCTATAACTTCCTGAAGGCAGGCTGTGGTGAGCTGGGGGTCGGCCTCTGCTCTCGTGTCATCAGTGATAGGAGCAGAGGGAATGGCTTCAAGCTGCGGCAGGGGAGATTCAGGCTGGACATGAGGAAGTGTTACTTGTCAGAAAGGGTGGTCAGGCACTGCAATGGATGCCCTGGGAGGTGGTGGAGGCACCGAGCCTGGGGGTGTTCAAGGAAAGGCTGGATGTTGTGTTGAGGGACGTGGTTTAGTGGGAGCTGTTGGGAATAGGTGAACGGTTGGACTGGATGATCTTTTAGGTCTTTTCCAACCTGGTGATTCTATGATTCTATATACGGAATTATGAATGCATGAAAACCAATTTTAGATCATTATTTAAGAAGCCCAGAAATGAGGATGCTCATGCTTGACTTAAAACGATCTGCATGAACCAGTAATCAAGGAGAATATTTTTAGATGTGTCAGTCTGAGCTCCTAAAACAGAAATGCTGTATTAAAGTGATTACAGCAGTTTCCTTAAAAAAATCCTCCCCTACTTTTCGCTCTCATGCTACGGAAGTTCTACCCAGTTCCCCCAGTGCAAGAAGCAGAACTCATTCATTATCCCACAGTCTGCTCTCTTTCAACTCCTCCGTGAGACCAACGTCATCCACTGGCACAGCTGGGGAACTCCAAGGGCAGCACCAACTCCAGCACAACCCAACACAACACAACCTAAATCAACACAACCCCAACCCAACACAACCCAGCACAACCCAACACAACCCAACACATTCCCAGTATAAGCAAAACACAACTCAACCCAACCCAACCCACTACAACCTAGCCAACACAACCCAATACAACCCAAAACAACTCAACACAACCCCAATACAACCCCAGAACAGCCCAGCACAACCTCAACACAACCCAACACAACCGCAGCACAACCCGACATAACCCAACACAACCCCAACACAACCCAACACAACCCCAACACAACCCAACACAACCCAACACAACCCAACACAACCGCAGCACAACCCGACACAACCCAACACAACCCCAACACAACCCAACACAACCGCAGCACAACCCGACATAACCCAACACAGCCCCAACACAACTCAAGCACAACCCAACATAACCCCAACACAACCCAACATAATCCCAACACAATCCCAACACAACCCCAACACAACCCAACATAACCCCAACACAACCCAACATAACCCCAACACAACCCCAACACAACCCAACACAACCCAACATAACCCCAACACAACCCAACATAACCCAACCCCAACACAATCCAATACAACCCAACATAACCCAACCCCAACACAATCCAATACAACCCAACATAACCCAACCCCAAAACAACCCAACACAACCCAACATAACCCAACCCCAACACAATCCAATACAACCCAACATAACCCAACCCCAACACAACCCAACACAACCCAACATAACCCCAACACAACCCCAACACAACCCAATACAACCCAACACAACCCAACGCAACCCAATACAACCCCAACACAACCCAACACAACCCAAAACAACCCCAGCACAACCCCAACACAACCCCAGCATAACCCAACACAACCCAGCACAACCCCAAGCACATCCCAACACAACCCAACACAACCCCAAGCACAACCCAACACAACCCAGTATAACTCTAACAGAACCCAACACAACCCCAGCACAACCCAGCACAACCCAACACAACCCAGTATAACTCTAACAGAACCCAACACAACCCCAGCACAACCCAGCACAACCCAACACAACCCAACACAACCCAAGCACAACCCCAACACAACTCAAGCACAACCCAACATAACCCAGCACAACTCTAACACAACCCAACACAACCCCAACACAGCCCAACCCAACCCCAGCAGGCTGAGCTGATGCTGTCCCCTCCTGCACTCAAGGCTCCAATTGAAGAATTGTTTACCCCAAACCGTTTGCTGTTGATTTCAGTTCTCTGTCTGCTCTCTGCCAGAACTCTTTGATTCCGCCACTGCTCTCCTGCTGCAAGGTGCCAGATGAGGTCAGGCCAAAGGGCCATCGAACCCAATACCCGCCATCCTTACATGTCCAATAAATCAGAAAACATCCGAAAGAAAAATGAGGAGAAAGCTCGTAAAGCAGAAAACTCCGCCAAACACATCCACTGCGCTGCCTGAAGTAGCTCCAGGGGGATGAAAAAGAAAGAAAGAAAAAAATCCATTATTTTTAACAAAAAATGGGTGGCTATAGGTTTATTTTCTTTTCTTTCACACACGTATCAGGCAGAGCACATTTGGGCTCCCCATGGTACTGCTGGCTGGAGGATGCCCTCCCAGCCCGGCTGCGGAGTGGAATGGCTGCCCCTATTGATTCCACAAAATAAGAACATTTTGTGCTGTTAACACTACAAAAATTGTGCAATTTGCATTCATAACACTGCAGTTGTTCTCTTGCATTATTCCAAAGCAGCAATGGCTTCTTTATGTACAAAGAAAATGGTTCAACCAACCTCTTAAGAAAATTTATTCCCAGCCTTATTAGAGATATAACTCATCATTTACACCCCTGTCCTTTGAACAGATTTGCATTTTTAAAGGAGCTTAGGATTCTTTTTAGGAAGTTCACCCAAGTGGGAACCAAATGGGGAAACCCAGAAAAGCAAAGAACTGGGTGTTTGGGTTGGTTTTTGAAAAGAAAGCTTGGTAACTTTAGAGATGTTCCATCATTTTCTACTTTAAATATGTATTTTTTTGTTCCTCCCATTACTGCTGTGCACAGGAACCACTCATGTGGTGTTGATGAAGAGGAGAAGGACAGACAATACAGTGTCCAACTCAGAAGGGGTTTTTTGGGCAGTCTGTGTAGCTTTTATAGCACCCTACCTCCCAAAGCAGTCCCAGACAGACCGGTGCAATCAATAACAACGTTGAACAACTGTACACGGCCTTTGGGGGCCAATGAATCGCTGCCAATCCTTCATTTCTTTTCAGGTCACCACGCACAACAACGCCTTTTTTTAATTCTTTTCTTTAATTAAAAGCACTATTGAAAACTGATTGAGCACCGGATCGATTCCTTTGGCCTCAGGGACTGCCAGCAGCCTGCAGCATCACTGTCTGGGATCTACATGCTAAGCAGGAAAGCCCACTTCCCACTCCTGCGGTATGAAACACACCATAATGTTCGTATCATGGCATCCAGGAATTCCAGGGACATCCACTACGTTTATCAAAAATCAGTGGTTGTATTCTTGTGGGGCCCTTCCAGCTCAGGATGCTCTGTGATTCTGTGTCTGCAGTAAAGCAGAACCATAACATCTACAAGTCAGCAGGCACAGGGCAATGGGTTCCTTGTGGCCTCCCAGTACTTGAAGGGAGCGGATAAACAGGAGGGGGAATGGCTGTTTGTGAGGGTGGATGGTGATGGGACAAGGGGGAATGGTTTTAAAGTGAGACAGGAGGTTGCCCTGGGAGGCAAATGGACGAGGCCAGGCTCTTGCTGTTGTGTAGTGATAGGACAAGCAGTAACAGCCCAAAGCTGGAACACAGCAAGTTCCATACATAGATGTGGAAGATCTTTACAGGAAAGGTGATGGAGCACTGGCACAGGTTGCCCAGAGAGGCAGTGGATTCTCTTCTATGGCGCTATTCCAGACTCAGCTGGATGCCCACCTGTACAACCTGCTGTAGGGAATTGCTTTAGCAGGGGTTGGACTTGTTGGCCTCAGGAGGTCCCTTCCAATCCTTCTGATGCTGTGATCTGTGATTATGAGAACTCTTGCACCTGGGTGAGAGCCCAGGAATTCCCGGAGCTGAACTTCATGCCTGCAGCAGCCTCACAAACCTACAACAAGGTGTATTTCACCTTTTTCTGTTCTCTTTTTTTGCTTTCTAATCACCAGCAGACTGAGCAATAAGAAAGAATTGACGACAGCTGCTCAGTGTCTGAGAGCCACTCCTAGATGCCCCTATGAAGAAAAGCAAGAGCTCTGCACAAGACTGATAAATTCAGTGGGATCTGGGATTTGAGAAACCAACCCATGAAACGACCAACACAAAAGTGACCCTTCCCATCCCCTTTATGCACAGCTTTAAATACAAGCTAAGGAACGAAAGTTGCTTATTTTCTCCTTGTAAATTGGGTTGCCACGGTCCTTAAAGAGACTCAATCCAAACTGGCACATGGATTTACATTCGGATTTTGTGCACGTTTGGATTTTGTGTTGAGGGACACGGTTTAGTGAGAGCTATTGGTGATAGGAGGACGGTTGGGCTGGATGATCTTGTAAGGCTTTTCCAACCTTGGTGACTCTGTGGCCTTTTCAAGGTACGTTGAGACAGTTTTTATTGCAAATGAGCTGCAAAGCAGCTCCACTCCTGGCTGCAAAGAAGCAAGCAGCAGCACGGGCAGAACGTTTGCTGCTGAGGACATTTCAGCTCTCATTTTGCCACATAACCACCTCGAATTGCAGTCCATTCTTTGTCACGGAAGAACCGAGCAAAATATTTGAAAGCTTCCATATCTCAGCAGTTCCCTACAGCTCTGCCAACCAGAAAATGTGACATCAGCCTCTTAGCTCACTAGACAGCCTTCAGCACTCCGGTGTTTAAAAAGAAAAGCCTGCATTTAACAAACCCGAACAGACCACGAGAGAGGTATACAAGCCTAAATGGATGGCAGGAAGGGTGCATGAATATTTATGACTGTCTGGTGCAGAACAGCAGGAAGGGAAGCAACAGAGCTGAGTGAAATAGCATGATATAACAAGGGATGACACCTACCTAGCAGATGAGCACACATAAAGCCATTATGTGCACGGCTGATATCACCTGCAGCTCATGCCCACATGCTGCACTGACTTGGACACAAAGAAGAGAAGCAAGTCAAATTTCACAGCGGCAACATTTTTAAACGCTAAGCACAGCAAAGAAGCTGCAAGAATCCCACATTTCACATGTTGTTGTCACACTCCATGCTTCTCCTTTCAGTGATATGGGCCTCCTGAAGGATGCCAAAGAGCTCCTGCAAAAATATCAACATCTGCTTTTGCTACAGTCTCATGACGAAATCTGCAGCTCCTTAAGTCCATCTTAGAGAGATGCCTCCAGACAGCATAGAATCACAGAATAGAATCATAGAATCACCAAGGTTGGAAAAGACCTAAAAGCTCATCCAACCGTTCACCTATTCCCAACAACTCCCACTAAACCACGTCCCTCAACACAACATCCAGCCTTTCCTTGAACACCCCCAGGCTCGGTGCCTCCACCACCTCCCTGGGCATCCATTGCAGTGCCTGACCACCCTTTCTGACAAGTAATACTTCCTCATGTCCAGCCTGAATCTCCCCTGCCGTAGCTTGAAGCCATTCCCCCTGGTCCTATCACTGATGACATGAGAGCAGAGGCCGACCCCCAGCTCCCTGCAGCCTGCCTTCAGGAAGTTATAGAGAGCAATGAGGTCTCCCCTGAGCTCCTCTTCTCCAGGCTGAACATTCCCAGCTCCTTCAGCCTCTCCTCATCAGCCCTGTGTTCCAGACCCCTCACCAGCTTTGTTGCCCTCCTTTGAACACGTTCCAGGGCCTCAATGTCTTTCTTGCAGTGAGGGGCCCAAAACTGGACACAGCACTCGAGGTGCGGCCTCACCAGTGCTGAGTATAGGGGAACAATCACATCTCTGCTCCTGCTTGCAACGCTGTTTCTGATGCAAGCCAGGATGCCATTGGCCTTCTTGGCCACCCGGGCACACTGTGGGCTCACTTTCAGCTGAGCATCAATCAATACCCCCAGGTCCATTTCCTCTATGCAGTCCTCCAGCCACACCGCCCCAAGCCTTTATGCATGGAGTCTTTCATATGGAGGCATATGAATTTCAAGTAATGCCCAAAATTATTAAAGCTGCTAGGAAACAGAGCACCCTCACTCAGAGAGTTGTGAGGCAGTGGCACAGGTTGCCCAAGGAGGCTGTGGATGCCCCATCCCTGCAGGCATTCAAGGCCAGGCTGGATGTGGCTCTGGGCAGCCTGGGCTGCTGCTTGGCGACCTGCACACAGCAGGGCTTGGAGCTGGATGAGCGCTGTGCTCCTCTGCAACCCAGGCCATTCTGTGACTCTGTGAAAAAATGCCCTTATACCAGGGAAGAAAATATGAAATAAAGTGTTGTCACAACCCAGATGTCAGCACAGAGCAGAGGTTACACACACACACACACACACACACACACACACACACAAGTTGCTGGGCCCCATATTTGGCTGACCGCTCCTTCCTGTCAACTACTGCCATAGTTTACAAAGAGGGCCCAATTATTCCCTTATCTACAACAACCAGTAATCAAATGATTAACACTTCACTGCCTTACGAAAAGGGCGACTACAAAAATATGTGCTAGTCTGAAAAGCTCGTCAGCATTCATTTGCATTCAATCTTTTGAGTACTTCAGCAGAGAATGCACACAGGGCAATTGTCCAAGCAGCAGCAGCAGCAAGGCCCTGCTTGTGCCACAGCAATTCCCCAAAACAGAAGGGAACTGGAGCTGAAGCACTTCTCTGACCTAGAAAGAGCTTCTTCCCAGGGTCCTGCTCATGGCTGAGAGCAGCACAGCCTGTGTCACCTGGCAATGGTGCTGCAGGGATGCAGTCAGTGGGCACCATCAGTGGGCACGGTGCTGATGGGCTGAAGGCTGGATGTGATGATCTCAGAGGTCTTTTCCAACCCTAATGATACCATGACGACACAAAAGCAGACACATCCAGTTCCCTCCAATCCATCTTTTACATTCCAGCCAAAAGCCAGCTGTTACTGACCCCAAGATGGGGTTCAACAAGCTCTGACTCCAACAGGATCCTGTCTCAAGAGCAAAAACATCAGCACTGATGTACGTTGTCAGGAACAAGCAGTATCTTCATGTACCAACCACTACACAGGAATGAGATTCCTACTCACTAGGAATAACAGCAAATGGCAGATTACTTATCCTGAAACATGCACAATTGTTCTGGATCCTTGGCTCAAAGGAATTAGGACTAGGGTGTAAGTAGGCAGAATTGAGGACTGTAAAGCTGCCCTGGAAGGGATCTGCAATAGATTTTGACATCAGGATTACCCAAGGGAAATCTTCAGGAGTGCTGTGCTCTGTGAGATTATCCTTCAAGTTCAGACTGCCACACGTGTGCATACATCCAAGGGGGTTGTAAGTGGTTCTGCATCCGCGTTAATCAAAGAATGAGGCTGGGTCAGATTTCTGCACCAGATTGTTTTACCCTCTACATTTACAGCAGGAAACATCAGCTCTGTGAAACTCTATGCTTTCAGTTGTTTAACTCACAGCAGTACGGCGTGCTGCAGAGCTCCAGGACTTTGGGTTCCTCCCAGCCCAAATCACTTGGAGATTCCAAGACTCATCTCCCTTTCCCCTCCCACAAAAAGTAGTAAGAAAGCTTTCCAAAAACCCAGCAGTCTGAGATTGCTTCATGGCTCATGTGCCAAGATGTACTCCCATCCAACTGAATGCCATAGAATCATAAGCCTGGGTTGCAAAGGAGCTCAATGCTCATCCAGCTCCAAGCCCTGCTGTGTGCAGGTCGCCAAGCAGCAGCCCAGGCTGCCCACAGCCACATCCAGCCTGGCCTTGAATGCCTGCAGGGATGGGGCATCCACAGCCTCCTTGGGCAACCTGTGCCAGTGCCTCACCACCCTCTGCCTCCAAAACTTCCTCCTCACATCCAACCCAAACCTCCCCTGTCTCACTTTCAAGCCATTCCCCTTGTCCTGTCACCACCCACCCTCACACACAGCCGTTCCCCCTCCTGTTTATCCGCTCCCTTCAAGCACTGAAGGCCACCATCAGGTCTCCCTGCAGCCTTCTCTTCTCCAAGCTAAATGTCTTAAGTCTCCATAATAGAGAATGCAGAAATAGTGCAAGAAAGCCCTAAAAGTCCTCTTTTCCCCTCACTGAAGTTCTCATTTTTCTCCCAACTTCACGTTCTTCCCACAGCGCAATTCCTATCACGCACCATTTTGGTCCTGTGGCACATATTTCCGTACGACTCTGTGAGTTTGGTTACTTTTCATTTTCAAAACCTCAGGATAGATTTCCCTTCCCCAGGGGAACCTGTTGGTAATATAAAAACTCAGGGAGGAACAGTGCAATTTTGGCCACGCAGAAAGCTGTGGTGGGCAGACACTGCACCAAATGGCCAAGCTCCTTGCTCCTCCAAGAGCAGCCTGTAGGTCACCCCTTGCCACATCATTCCTTCCAATCCCACAGCTGAGCTGGCTCCTGCCATATTTTAATAGTGAAACACCTCCACGTTGCTTCATTCAAAGAAGCCTATGTTGAAATATTTGGGATCTGTTGATGAGGATCACCTATTAATAAGCGAGGAAACCTTTTGGGGAAGCGTGGGCTGGGAAAGGTGTGCAGGACAGCATCCTTACAGCTGTTTGCTGGCTCTCTCTGGGCTTTGGGCTTCAGCGGTGGCACAGCTCAGCAAAACCACCTCTGTCAAAGGGAAAAGAAATGATTCACAGCCATCAGGAAACACCTGAGAACATCCTCAGGGACACAGGGCCAAATCCAAAGTATTCACTGCACAATTATTCTATGTATAAAAATATTAACAGCCTTCCTACTGCTCAAAGAACCTGGAACACAAAACAGCCGTCCGTCTGGTAGCAGGGGCCTCTTGCACAACACCTGGGATGTCCTCAGCGTGTTCCTTGCTCACTGCTTACTATGAGCACACCCAAACCTTGCTCCAGTGATGCTGCAGCTCCTGAAAAACAGCTCATGCTACACAACATAACTGCATGACAAGCTCTGAAGTACTGCTAAGCCAATGGTGAACCTTGCAAAGGCTCCTCAGTGACAGAGGATGGGGAAGAGACTGCCCCCAAGAAGCAGGGTACAATTCTCCCCGAGGATCCTGCCTTTTATGTAACCAATCCACTGAGATCCAAATGCCACACCACAAAAAAACCCACCTGACTGTCACAGCTGACAGCTCGAGGCCTGAGGATGACTGGGTAAGAATCTGCTGTGCCACTGAGCTAAGTATTCAGCGCCATATGGATGCATTTGATGCTGCCTCCAGGCATTTTATGACCAGCAAGAGATGCAAGGAATTGTCACTTGTACTTAAAGTTTGGCAGTAGCTACGGGGGAAAGGAGGAGGCAGAAAAATGCATTTCCTAATATCTTTTTTTTTTCCAGGCAGCGTCTGCTGTTTGCTTTCTTTAGATACATTAGAATCCCGTTTTACTTGGTGCTCAGACTGTGAGGTTACACGTTATCTTGAGGGAGATGCCTGGCTTCATAGAATCACAGAATGGCCTGGGCTGAAAGGGAGCTCAAGGATCACGAAGCTCCAACCCCCCACCAATGCAGGGCCACCAACCTCCCCATCTCACAGCAGCCCAGGCTGCCCAGGGCCCCATCCAACCTGGCCTTGAACACCTCCAGGGATCACAGGGGCATCACAGCCTCTCTGGGCAGCTGTTCCAGCCCCTCACCACTCTCTCTCTAAACAACTTCCCCCTGACATCCAACCTCCAGCTGCCCTCCCTCAACTCCAAACCATTTCCCCTTGTCCTGCTGCCATCTCCCCTTGCACAGAGCTGACTCCCCTCCTGTCTGCAGGCTCCCTTGAGGCACTGCAGGCTGCACTGAGGTCACCCCGCAGCTTCTCTTCTCCATGCTCAACAAGCCCAGCTCCCTCAGCCTGTCTTTGTAGGGAGGTGCTGCAGCCCTCTGCTCATCTCTGTGGCTCCTCTGCACCCTCTCCAACAGCTCCCTGTCTTTCTTGTGCTGGGGGCTCCAGCCCTGGACATAGTGCTGCAGATGGGGCCTCACAAGAGCAGAGCAGAGGGGGACAATCACCTCCCTGTCCCTGCTGGCCACCCGTCTTCTGATGGAGCCCAGGATCCCATTTGCTTTCCCAGCTGCAGGAGCACTGCTGGCTCATGTTGAGCTTTTCATCCACCAGGACCCCCAGGTCCTTCTCTGCAGGGCTGCTCTCAAGCACTGCTCCTTCCAGTCTGTATGGATGCCTGGGATTCCTCCGGCCCAAGTGCCAAGCCTTGCACTTTGCTGTGTTGAACCTCATTAGATTCACCCACGCCCACCTTTCAAGCCTGTTGAGGTCCCTCTGAATGGCATCCCTTCCTTCCATCATAGAAATGGTTTATCAGGACACGCAGCACTGATCTGCAGCAGAAGCAGCACAAATGTGGAGCAAACCCCCACTGTATTTCAAGGCCCAAAGGGGTCACACAGACCAACCCAAGCTTTTTGGAGACTAACCACATTTTTAATGATTTCTACTCGTTATTCTTTTCCACTAAGTAAATCTTAATAAGCACTGGCATAGCTGATAAAACAGCACAGCTCTGATTATTAATGGGTGGGCAAGATTTCCCCTGGGATACACAGCATGTCTTGTCCCAGTGACAAAAATACACGGTGATAAACGGCCTCATTAACTCGTGTTATTTTGTTGGTAATTAGCTTTACTTTTCCTCCCAAAATGGGAAACATATGAAAGAGCACAATGAAAAATCTTGTTCTGTTTGTTTGGTCTCAGCCACGCCGAAATGAAGCAGTGCCCATGGGTCTGTGCCCTGCTTCCATCTCACAGCCAACCCGTTTGCCAACCACAGCTGTGCTTTATTTCTTTCTTTTCACACAATTAAGTTGCACCCTGTGAAACCTTCCCACAACAGCTCTTTTGTTCGCCACAGAAGACAAACAAGAGCCAGCTCCTTGCTACAGGATGAGGAGAATCCATGCAGCACAGCCCTATGCATACATACCAGCATATAGCATGATCTGGGGGCAGTTTTACCTCGCTGTTTGTCAGAGAACATCATTAGGCTTGCACTCATCTTCCCTGTAAACACGGGGTTTCAATCACACTGAACTCCAAAGCCAAAATGCTGTAAGCAGGAGCTCCTCAGCCCCATCCCTGCAGGCATTCAAGGCCAGGCTGGATGTGGCTCTAGGCAGCCTGGGCTGCTGCTTGGCGACCTGCACACAGCAGGGCTTGGAGCTGGATGAGCACTGTGCTCCTCTGCAACCCAGGCCATGCTGTCATTCCATGATTCTTGCTCACATCTACATCTCGAAATCTGCCACCAGCCTGCACCAATGGGCTCTACACCCTGCTGGCTCCTGAGCCATGTGTCCTGCAGGCAGCTTCCAAGAGACGGAATGTGAACGGCGCCGTGACTTAAACTGAAATACAACCCAAAGTGATGCAGGTTTGAAGGAGGACGCTGCCCATGTCTGGATGACTGACGCCCTTTACGCTGGTGCAGGAGTCAAAATCTAGCAGAGCTAGGAGCCATTATCAGTGGGAAAAGTCTCAGAGGCTTGTATAGGCCTTAACAAAAATGCTAAGATGTTTACATGCATACTTCATGCATACCATATGCAAATGACCAAGCAAGACCAGAAGTGTGGTTAACAGAGCTACACATGCAAATCATTGCGGTCGATGTGGTTCCATTCAAACGACTGACAGACAGCAGAGGAAGAGCAAATTTAAGATAAGACGACAACAACCACTCAAGTGGTGCACAACTATCCGCAACCATCAGCTCAGTGTCAGAAAACCACAAAGCAACCAACAAAGGAGGGCAGCTGGAGGTTGGATGTCAGGGGGAAGTTGTTTAGAGAGAGAGTGGTGAGGGGCTGGAACAGCTGCCCAGAGAGGCTGTGATGCCCCTGTGATCCCTGGAGGTGTTCAAGGCCAGGTTGGATGGGGCCCTGGGCAGCCTGGGCTGCTGTGAAATGGGGAGGTTGGTGGCCCTGCATTGGTGGGGGTTGGAGCTTTGTGATCCTTGAGCACCCTTCCAACCCAACCATTCTGAGATTCCCTGGTTGGCTTTAAACTCAGCTATGGGATAACTGTCCATATAGAAGAGGGAAGACAAGAATAGTTACACTCTGGGATAATTTTTGAAGTACCTTGAATGACTGTGATAAAGAAGTGGAGGTTTTCCATGGAGAACGTTGACCCTTTGCATATCTCTGATAATGCTGACCCTTACATCTGCCCTCGTAATACAGAGATGGCTTCTTAACAAAAGCTGTGGTGGCTCTCTATGAAAGGCAGCCCTGTACCTTCATCTGCTTCTCACACCACAAACTAAAGTCGGGAATGAAAGTAATCTTCCTGTACAAATTTCTGACGGCTGTAGCTTCAGGCAAATTGGTGTCACTCAGGCTCTTAAGGAAGAGAAAGGAACTGTCTGTTCCTGCCCAAGCAGATTTCTCTCAAATCACTCCACCAGGGATCCCTGATGTGCCCATCTCTGAGGTCAGTGTGATATGGAGCATAGGATGCAGCCTTGAGACCTCCATGTGTCTCTTGGATTTCACAGAATGGTTTGGGTTGGAAGGGAGCTCAAGGATCACGAAGCTCCAACCCCCCACCAATGCAGGGCCACCAACCTCCCCATCTCACAGCAGCCCAGGCTGCCCAGGGCCCCATCCAACCTGGCCTCCAACACCTCCAGGGATCACAGGGGCATCACAGCCTCTCTGGGCAGCTGTTCCAGCCCCTCACCACTCTCTCTCTAAACAACTTCCCCCTGACATCCAACCTCCAGCTGCCCTCCCTCAACTCCAAACCATTTCCCCTTGTCCTGCTGCCATCTCCCCTTTCCAAGAGTTGCTCCCCTCCTGTCTGCAGGCTCCCTTTAGGTCCTGGCTGCAATGAGGGTCCCCAAACATAACCCCAACACCCCAGTGTCAGTGATTTGTTAAGCAGCACTAAATATTGCCAACTTCCATCTTCTAGACTTGAGGGAAGGAGGCACAGTGCGGCTACCTGCACTCCTGCCACA